ACGGGCATGTGCCACCACACCTGGCTAATTTTTTTGTATGTTTAATAGAGATGGGTTTTCACCATGTTGGCCAGGCTGGCCATGAACTCCTGACCTCAAGTGATCCTCCATCCTCAGGCTCCTGAGTAGCTGGGACTACAAGTACACACCACCACGCCTGGCGGATTTTTATATTTTTTGTAGAGACAGGGCTTTGCCGTGTTGCCCAGACTGGTCTTGACCTCCTGGGCTCAAGCACTCCTTCCTCTTTGGCCTCCCAAAGTGCTGGGATTACAGGCCTGAGCTACCATACCCAGCCTCTTGTTGCCTGTTTTAATGTAACTGAGGAAACTGAGTCTCAGAGGGTTATGCCTTGCCCTGGATCACACAGCTAGGAAGGGGGCAGTCTGAGATTTAAACCGTGACCTCAGAGTTCATTCCTTTTTCCACATACCAGCCACCTCCTGTTTGCCCTGAGTCCAGCACACCACCCAGAACCCTATACGAGTGGGGCTGGTACCCTTGTATCCTGGGGAGAGGAAGGGAAGGCCTGGGAAGGGGTCTAGGGGCCTGTGCCCACCTCTTCCCTTTGTCTCAGGGATAATTCGCTGTGCCCTAACACCTGACTTTCCTACGCCTCCCCACCCCCTTCCGCCTCCACCCTAGGTTGGTAAAACCTCCACTTTCCCCCTCCCTCCCAGTCTCCCTCCCTTCCCAAGTCTTAGCAGTTCAGCTTCCACTGATAGTCTACTGTTGAGTCTGCAGCCATCCCAGGCGACTGTTTCACGCCACAGGTGCTGTTCCCTGACACTTCTGAAGGTGCTTGGGAGGGGCCGGTGACAGCAACCAGTGGGCTCTTTCGGCAGGGGAGTGCTGTTCCCAGGGGCAGGGTGGCAGCTGGGCCATCTCCACAGCACCCATTCCTGTCTCCCCTCATCAGGAGGGTAGGTGGGGGCTGGCGCTAGCTGTTTTGCCCCCAGGGCCTGGCAGCCTATAGTCAGCCAGAGATGAGCGCTTTGGGGACCGCAGTCCCAGGCCAAGGCGGGTTTTCATCACTTAGACTGGCAGGTGGTCTGATGGAGTTCAGAGGCCTTTCAGAGTCATCTGAGCAAGCCCCATTTGCAAACTGCAGCCAAGGAGGCCTCGCTCAGGGAGATGCTGGAGTTTGAGGAAAGGCTGACAGGTGGGACTCTGTAGCCGCCTTTACCCATAGCAGTTTCGTTTTTATCTGTTTTATATGTTGAGGTTCCAAGTAAAGTATTATTATTTTAAAAGTTTATCTTGCTTTGAAAAGGATGTGGTTTAGGGGCCGGGCGCGGTGGCTCAAGCCTGTAATCCCAGCATCCCAGCACTGTGGGAGGCCGAGGCGGGTGGATCACGAGGTCAAGAGATCGAGACCATCCTGGTCAACATGGTGAAACCCCGTCTCTACTAAAA